CTCCCTCGACCTGCTGGCCACATTTCTCCTGATACAGCCCAGGGTACGGTTGGCTTTCAGTAATCCAGATGGTTTTACTTGTTGCTTTTTCCTTGCAACACATCTGTTGAGAACACATTTAATATCTCTTTAATATCTCTGTTGCACAGCAGGAAGAAGTTGCACAGAAAAAAGCTCAGCTGGAAGAAGAGCAGAAGGCTGCTGCTGCTGCAGATGAGCACAGGAAGCAGTTTTTAGAAGGCAAAACGAATGACGCGTTAGAATTGGCTGAAAAGCTGCAGAGAGAAGATGGCTATTTTGGTGAGCATGTAGATACTGCAGTTCTCCTGTGTGGATGTTGGCATGAAGTGTTCAGCAGTTGAATACAAACTAAGTGTCCGGTGTTAGGAATAAATTTAACTCCCTTACATAAGTACTTTTTGGCAGTATTCTTCTCTGAAACCAATATATCAGGCCAGACTGGGAAAAGAATCTCAGTTAATGCAGCAATATAGAGGGCATTTTTTTGTAGGAGCACAGGTTTAGATCAGCTTAAGCCAATCATAAAATTGCATCCCTTAGAAATCCTCTGTCAAATGGTGTAAAGAACAGCAAACTCCCTGCCAACAAGTGACTTTGCCAAGAGTTTGTTCACAGGAAAAAAAACATAGGCGCCTCCAGATTTGGCCAGTACATCCTTCTCAAATGCTTCTCCTATTCCCCCATCCCTGCAAGATTCACACAAGATGAGTGATTAGTATTAATATTAGGTGATTAATATTGCTTTGGGCGAACTTTTTCAAACTTTGCCCTTATTTGCCTAATGTTTTTAATATAGAGTAATTTGCAACTGCAAATTATTAAAATGGGTGTCTCCTCCTAAAACAGCGAGTACAAGTAGCCATATTCCACATGATCTTAGTGGCCCATTTGTCAGAAGATTAATTATATGGGAAGAAACAGCGCATGTGGAGCTGTAATTTCTTAAAATGAAATGCGGTGATGCATAGACCAGAAACGTTGACTTCTAATTCTGCGCAAATTGCAGTTGCCATTAGCTGGAGTGAGCGATTGTTCCAGTTTTGCTTCCTGCAGTAAAACTGTTTCACCTCAAGCTAGAAAAATCACTAGAAGTTTGAACACTTTTAATTTACAAATAAGCCATCTCTCCATTTCCCACAGAGAGACGGCATGATTTAAAGGCGGGATGTACCGAGAGAGTGGCAGGACACTGGCAGGTGCCAAGGGCCAGAAACATCTGCCTGAATGATTTGTCTGCATTGGAGTTATCGTCAGACAGTAAGTTTCTAAGTTAGGACCCTCCTTTCTTTCACGTTTAATTGCAGAAGCGTTACTGGAACAGCTCAATGTGCGACTGAGTCGTTATTAGTTGTGTAGGTTTTTAGAGGATAGTAAAATGGTTAATTGTTGTATTCTGTTTCACACCGGAAAGAAACGTCTTTGCTACCAGGGTCAGCACAGGTAGGAAGTGCCTGAAGTTTGTCACGTATGAGAGTGGTCCTAGTAAACCTCAGCCTAGTTTAATCCCATTCTGGCACTTCACCTATGCTTTTTCTCTCTTCCTAGTGATGTATGATTTGGGGATGTTGAGAGGATGTAGAACTGTCCATCAGAATGTTCCCGAGAGATATAGCCAGGAAGTAGTCTGTAGTCATTTCCTCTGGGCTGTCCTAGCCACTGTGGCCAGTGAAAGACCTGTTTATGTCATACGCATCTTACGTACAACACTCTGCACGGGATGGGAAACGTGTATCTGTGGGCCTGCTGTAGCGACCCATCAGCATCTGACCCTTTTGTAACAAAACATGGGCGCCACTTTCCAAGAACCTGCTTTTATTACAGGCCTTAGGGCTGTCTCGCTGTGCTGGGTTCAG